GGCGGCGACCTCGCGGGGCGACAGCAGAGGTGGCGGCTGCGACCCCGCCGCAGCCATCTTGACAACCAACCGACGCCGCGTCCTTCGCGACGGAAACCAGGGGGAACGCTGGGCGAGGCTGCGGGCAGGGGGCGGGGCTGCGGGCAGGGGGCGGGGCTGCGGGGGAGGGGCCCGAGCAGCCAATAGGAACCCTGATCGCTCAAAGCGGGCTGGGGTCGTCTGAGGTAAATTGTGGCAAACGGGGTTAAACCGAGGTAAGAGAAGCTGAGGTACACTGAAGTACACTGAGGTGAGAGAAGGTAAGCCTCGGTAAATTGAGGTAAACTGAGGGGAGCTGTGATAAACGGAGGCAAGTGGAGCTAAACAGGTTTACTGAGGTGAGATCAGGTAAACTGAGGCAAGTTGAGATTTTTTTTAAACCTATTTTTTTTATTTATTTAAACCTAGTTGATATTAAAGCGCATTAAGCAGAGGCAAACTGAGGCAAGCTGAAGATAAACCAGGATAAAATGAGATAACTGAGTAATCTCAGGTAAACTGAGGGGAGCTGAGGTTAAATTGAGATGAGCTGAAGCAATCTGAGCTAAGCAGAGGTAAACTGAGGTACACTGAAGCAAGCTGAGTTGTGCAATAGTACTTTCTCATTGGACTGCCAGTCCGCAGATAATAAGATTGAGACTTTTTATTACTTATGAAAGCTTGGCCTATAGCTTAGGCTTGTTCCTAACTAGCTCTTAGAACTTAAATTAACCCATTTATATTAATCTATGTTCTATCATGTGGTGTTATCTCTCTTCCATCTTGCATCTCCTGTTTCTCCTGGTGTCTTTCCAGGACCTAGATAATCTCCTCCTACTTCCTCAGTCTGCCCAGAAGTCCATCTATATCTCCTGCCTAGCTATTGGCTATAGTATTATTTGTGTTTTAATAAAGTTTGCCTAAAGATCAGAGGACAAAGCAGCCATATTAGTCAGTCATACAGGCTAGGGAGTGGTGGCACACATCTTTAATTCCAGGACGCAGGAGACAGAGGCAGACAGATCTCTGTGAGTTCAGAGCCAATCCTGGGCTACATGAGATTGAATCTGTCTAAAAGAGAAACAGCTCACACAAAGGTGCTCCCAGCACTTGGGATGACATGCCTTTCATCCCAGCACTAGGGAGGTGGAAAGAGGAATATAAGGGGAATAGACAGGACCTCGGTGGTGTGTGCCGTCTTCAGGATTCATGAAGACAGGATCTCGCCCATTTCTGTCTGAGGTAGAAGTAAGAGCCAGTGGCTGGCTGCTTTGCTTTTTTGACCTTCAGCTTGAACCCCAATATCTGTCTCTGGATTTTTATTATTCGTGGCACAGTTGGCCCTTCAGCTCTTTGTCGAGCCAGCCACAGCAATGTATCTTCACCCCGTGTACAGATTTCCCACAACAGAGTTGAGCGGATGGCAGCCCCTTTATTTCTGGGGCTCACAGTTGTGAGTGAGTACAGCTGAACTATGCTTTAGAGCTTGATTCAGTCCTCCCTTTAGCTAGTATTTTCCCTGGAGAATACTAACAGATGAAAGACAGCAAATGGAAAAATCCCTAGATATGGACAAATATTACTTGGCAGTTTAGAAATAAGTATTTGGGGCATAATTTGTTAGATATGGAATTCTGTGGTTTTAGATCATAAATCTTCCCTGGTTATCACTCTCTTGAAAATCACTATTGTAGGGCCTGTTCCTCGAGGCTGAAGCACAGGATGCAAGAATTGTTTACTCTAACCAGCTTAGCTTCCCCTACTCATTCTGCCAGCCCGAGGGAATTAGTTCAAAGCCTTGTTTCTGTCATTGCTATGATAATTTCACCTGCTAAGGAAGGTCCTCACCGGCGCCCTAAATCTCCTCCCATCTGTCTGTCAGGATCCAGACTCGCGGTCCGGTATGGGAAGCACGCCCTGTATTGGAGAGTGGGTTTCGCAGATAAGCGCGGGACACACTATCTCTTTAAGAAAAAAGAAAAAAGAAAAAAAAAAGCTTGCTAAGTGGAAAATTTCTTCCCCTACTTACTTTCCTCCTGAGACTTCTGCCACCCTCTCTCCACTGCCCTACTTAGAATGACTTAACTTCAGCGAATCCTTCTGGTCCTCGCTCGCTGCCAGAGTCTGCAAATGGACCATCACAGCAAAAGTAGCCTAAAAAGAAGTCCAGATTTAGCTTAATAATCTCCTGGGAAGATGTTCCAGAAGGGATCATCGTACTGAAATGACTTTTGTAAGGGAAATTAAACAGAGTTTTGAGTCACTAGGTTAATATCTATGTAAGTGAAAATTTGGAACAAGGCTGGGCCTTTTTGTTGGAGCCCAATGTAGAAACATCAATTTTGACTGGATATTAGTTAGTTTTAAATTTTTTATTTACATTTTATATGTATAAATACTCCCAGATTGCTAAGCAGAATGTTCAGAGATCACTCTGGAGCATTAAAATATCTTCGCCTTTCTAAATTCCTAACAATTCAAAAAACAAACTTTTTCAACTGAAACTATTTTAAAACAGCCTTTTTTTCCCCCTTTCAAACAGAGATATTCTGATTCAATTGGATTGTGTTCAGGGGACTGAGCTTTTTGACGTGTCGCAAGTCTACATTTGATTTTAACTGCAAAGGGCTTAAGTTTCATTCAATGTCATGGCAAGATGACAAAACAAAACATATAACCCTAACAAGAAAGGGAAACTATGTATGCTGGGACAGTTGGGTGCGCTGGCCACGTTTGAATGCTCTAACCATAAACGTTGGCCCTGGTTCTGTCTCCAATGCTGTCATTAGACCTCTGTCTCTCCAAGACTAGCAAAGTAGGGCACTGTAAAAGGCAAAGGAAAGTGAGAAATTTATGGTTGCTATTTACAATATTTGCATTTTAGCTTTCCTGAAAATTTCGTTTAGACTGTATTATTTAGTAAGTGGGAAATGGTAGCCACATTATTATTGTTTTATATGGTATATCGATTAACATTAAGAAGCATGATTTCGCATCAGCACGGTGTCAGCCTCGTAATCCCTGCCCTTCAGAGATGGGGCCAGGAAGATTATCCTTTGCTGCAGAGTGACTTTGACGCTAGCATGTGCTACTTCACCTGTCTAAAAACCACAAAGAAGAAAGGCATGGTTTGTTTTCTCAATGTCTACAAATGCCTGCTCAGTAGTTACTCTTTGTCTAAGTGTTGCTTTGTAAAGGTAATAAAAAATTAAAGGGTGATTTAACTTAAGGTTGTTATCCATTTTAAAAGCTACAGGTTTGTTGATTTCTAATTCTTTTCTTAAAACTTCAAAATATTAAGCCAGTTTTCCTACAGCCTATTTAAGGGATTCAATCCTAGACTCTAGAAAACAGAAAGTTGAGAGGCAATAAAATTAAAGGTGAAATACTTGGATAATAGATAATTTGAAGATTTTTATGAAGTTTATCTTTTGTGAGGTCTAGGACAGTACAATGCTTGTAAGCACAAGGGGCTGTGTTCAGATCCTCAGATCCACAGAAGAGGCCGGGGTGGTGTGCTGTAGTCCTGGCACTGGGGAAGAAGTGGAGACAGGCAGATCCTTGCTCACCAGCCAGTCTAGCTGAACTGGAAGCTTCAGGTTCAATCATGGACCCTTGTCTCATAAACTAAGGTGGAGAGTACTGAAAGATAGCCGACATCAAATCTGACTTCCACAAACATCTGTGTCCACCTGCGGGTGTGTGCATGCATGTGCGAGCACGTATGCGCACATGCGCGCACACACACACACACATACACACACTACATAAAGAATAAAACTAAAGCACCAATATTTTTTATAAAGACATCTTAGTTAAATATAATGCTTAATTCATTTTTATTTTCTAACAATACAACTCATTTATTAAGGATTTTTTTTTCTCTCTCTACCTACATATCTGTCTCTCACAGCACATCTACTATATGCAAGTACTTTCTAGTTACTGGGAATTTAGTGATGAATAAACTTCATACTACTCTTGTAGACAACCAGAGTTTGATTCCCAGCATGCACACCTGGTGGTTTGTATCTGCCTGTCGTCCAGTTCAAGGGAGAGCTGAAGTGTTGGACCTCTGCAGGCACTTGCACAGACATCCACATCATTAAAAAAGTAAAAATTAAAAAAACTTCAAAATGTTATGGTTTTAAAGTTTATATTAAATTTTCTTGCCAGTATAATATATTAGGTTTCAAAAAACTACTTTAGAAAAATGTACTTGGGTGGGAAGAGAGAGAGAGAGAGAGAGAGAGAGAGAGAGCGAGCAGGGAGACTGTTGTAGATAGAGTGCTCAAGAATGTTCTCTAAGGAAGGGAAACTAGGTCAGAATACAGGAAGGGGAGCCTGACTCAGTTGTCTGCATGATGAATATAAAGAATACATAGTCTGTTTCTGGTAGGGTCTTATAAGGTCCTAATGTGAAGCCAACCTTTAGTTGATAGAAGGGCATTTGGGAGTTAACATCACGTTCTAACGTTTAGAAAGGATCACTGGAGTGTTGCACGATTAATAAAGACTCAGAGACAGATATTGGGGTTCAACTTGGAGACCAGAAAAGCAAAGCATCCAGCCACTG